GTCCCCACAGCTGTGTACTTGAGGTGAGTCCTTATTAGATATAGACAAGGATTCTCTGTTTTTGTCCCATGGTGATTACCAAATGTGTTACAAAGATCTCCTATTTAAACAAGGTTCCAGCAAAGAACTGAGGTAACGAGTGAAACTCCCTTCCCTCTGTCTAGAGTGTTTCGAACAAATAACCCAAGCTCATCTGCTACYGGTTGTGTTTTGGCCTGTTGTCCCAGCAGAAGTTGGAGGTCCTCCTCCCTCCTCCATTTCCATGCTAAAAATTTAAAACAAATGTYCACAGTGCCTCCTTTGGTGTAATTCCTCTGGCTGATCCACACTCAAAGCTCAAAGAAGAAAAAAAGAGAAGTCCATTTCATGAGTCTAAAGCCAGGTTTGATGTGCTGCAGCAGCAAACCCCAGCTTCAAAGGTACCTCCACTCCCGGTGTTCTACCACTTAGGACTACAGCCATTCCCAGTGCATTTTCAAGTCTTGGTTGAAAAACTCCAGCTGTGAATTTGAATCCATGTATCAGACTCAGACTGACTTCTAGGCACTTAAGTTATTTTAGATCAAAACACCAGTTTCTTATCGTACCCTTAAGTCAAAATATCGATCAAGTTGTAAACAGATACAGTGAGAGTGTTATCGGAACAGAAAGAGGGCATCACAATAGAAAACACTGGTCAAAAACGAACTATCAGTRCAATATGATCTGTGGATCAATAAGAAAAGAGACTGTAAATAGTGCGGAGGTGTAATTGCAAAATACAACATCAGTGAAACCATAATTGGTACTATCTCCAGTTCTGGCATCTACCATTTAAAGAATGATTCTGGAAATTGGAAAGACTACAGATGAAAGTTACAGAAATGACTTTAAATCTAAGAAGAGTGTTTTATTCTGAGACTTAAATGCTAATCTATTTAGCTTATCCCCAAACTGCAAAGAGTTCATCCAGTCTACATTTTTCTGCTTGGGTTAGAGATTGCTTACATTTATGACCATTTAATCTTCTCACAGTTGGAAACTGGTCCTGGATAGACTCAGACTAACAATATGATATACTTTAGCCCCGCAGGTGAATAACTCTTTCAACATCTGAACTAAGATTTGATCAAGTCTCTTTCACTTGAGATCTTCATTCAAGACTTTGAAGGTTTGCTGTGACACAGTGACTTATCGGTATGCCTATAGTGTAGTTATTGTTGGCAGAGGTTCTATGGTCTGGTTAACAAATGCTGTGTAAATAAATTAGCATAATCATTGCTTCTGGCCTTAAAAATCTATTAATACTTGCAGAACCTGATTTCTGAAATAATCATGCCTTCCTCTTACAAATCACAAGCATGAAAGCTGTGGTCACATTGTGAGTTAATTATGCTTGAGAATAGCTCTCTATTGTGCATCTGAGAAATCTGAGGCAACAAAACCTTAATTGGCTTTTCCAAGGGTATCCAGCAAATCACTTGAAAACCCAAGAAGGGAACCCAGGGGAGCTGATACTTTCTCCCTGGGCTCACTCCATGTCACGCTTCCAGCTGCTCATAAAAGAGAGAAGCCCAGGCCAGAAACGAGGGCCTTTGAAATCTGGAATTGGCAGGGAACTATGGAAATTATTTGGTCCAATCCTTTGCTCAAGCAGGGTCACTTAGATCGTGTTGCCCTGAACCTTGTTCCAAGGATGAAGACTCTATGTCTGTGGGCAACCTGTTCCAGTCACAGCTCTCAGCCTCTACTCATATAAAAGATACTCCAAGCACTCAGTCATCTTTGTGTCCCTTCACTGGGCACACTGGAATAAATCCATGTCTTTCATGTCCTGGAGARTCCAGCACTGGATCCGCCGCTCTAGATGTGGCCTCATGAGGGCTGGAAAGAGGGGAAGGATCCCCATCAGTCTCKCTTTTCTACACAGATACCTCAAGAATTTACAGTCGTGATGTGTCAAAGCTCTGCTCAGAGCTTTACAATCCCTGAGCAACACACAGATGCAGACCCTCAAAAATCTTAGATTCCTGAAGTCCATTGACTTGTAAATGGAAGGAAACACCTTKTTAGTTCCGAGAATGAGAAGTTAGGTCTCCCCACGTTTCAGTGGCCTAGTTTGAAGCTGAAATAAGACCTACGCTAATTTGATAGTAGTAGGAAAGGTTTTCCATTGGACAAGCTTTTGGAGGAATCTCCACCTCTTGGTGTCAGGATAGGGTACCCACTGGAAGGCAGGCATCAGTCACACATAAAGACTGGGCTCCATCGAGGGGTAACCAATGAAATGTCCTAATCTGTATTAGATAGGAAGATCAGATGATGAAAAGTTCCCTCCTGGTCTTAAGCATTACTTCTTTGTGAATCTGCGAAATGGAGCTAGCAATAATTTCTTCCCTACAGGGCTATTCTAAGAATAAAGATTGCGAGGCAATGGATGGTAAAGCAATCAGGGCTTCTACAGATATGTGAGATAGTTAGATTGACTGTGTTGCCATGAAAGCAGCAGAATCATTTTGCGCAAGGCTAGTGATAAATTGAATGAGAAGGCTCATGCAGCCCATCTATTAACAGCTGGCCTMTGCAAGGACTCCAGCAAACAAAGGCTGGGAATGAAGTTGTGAGAATCTCTTCTCACAGAAACGGGACTTTCTCCATTTCCCTTTCTCTCTTCTGATTTATACAGCATTCCATAATAAGGGAAATGTACCGGCAGCTTTTTAAAATGGTTATTTTCCAGAAATGTGGGCTCTCTCACCTGTTGGCTGTTCAGCTTTTTGGATGTAGGATCGAACCTACAAAGCGGAAAACAACAAAAAAAGGGAAACATTCTAAATTACACCAGGATGGCTGATGAGCATCAGATGGCAAAACAGAGAGCATCAAACATCAACCCTCCCAACCATCCTCTTTCTGAGCTGACCAATTCACTCCAAAATGTAGAACTACATGGCTATTTTCGCCTTTCTGATTAGTTTGTTTCAGTAAATCCCACTACACRCAGAGACCCAGCTCACTTTAATTACCTCTGGCACTTTGACAGGGAGAGGGAAGAAAATACCATCAGACAGGGCTGTCTGGACATACATCACGAAGCAGTGACAAAACATAAACTAATTTGGTATATAATGGCTAAGTGCTTTCTGACTAGCTGCCTTTATCTTTGCAAGCCTTCCACCTAGCTGGCAAAATCAGTCCAACCAATCCAACAGTTTACTGAGCAAGATCTATTTTTTATCTATTACAAGCAAAATGTTACAAACACAGAAGAATCATGATCGTTTGTCATTGTTTTTTTCTTTGCTTTTATTTCACAGTCTCTCTCTGTGTTCCCACATCCCCTAGTATATTTTTTCTCTGAACAGTTTAGGGCAATCTGGTCATTGCTAGGCAACATATCTAAATAAATATTTCATCAGCAGAGGAATGTTCAGAGCCACAGCCAAAAATCTTTATCCGGGGTAACCTCCATGTCCCTGTTTTTAATGTGTCCTCATGGATGCATGCAGGCACCAGCAGGTACATGAGTTCTGCCCCTGGACCCCACATTGCTGAGGGGTAAACAGGGCTACTGAAGGCAAGAATGTTACTGGAAAAGGACCTGTCATCTAGCTTCATATCCACATCCAATTCAGTCCATAGGTGAAGGAAGATGCCCATTTTTACAGAGAGATGCCCCTTTATCTGCAGCAGGTAACTGGGCTCGTCCTGGCTTTTGTGAAGCTTGCAGGGGTTTTAACTAGCAATATATGCTCTAGGAAGTGGATCTTGATGMAAATTCAATGCGTGTGTATGTGTGAAAAAGAATTGGGGTGGGGAGATAGAATATGGATGCTCATACATGAATAGCAAGTTCCTGGCTCACCAGGAGATCACTCAGGACCTTTCAATACAGCTACAACAAAATGCAAACTCGAAATCTGACAGTGCAATGCATCAGGTATATTCATCCTGATGGGACTTTCTGAGCTCCCTATCTCAAAACAGCCATATCTCACATTATTTTCACTTGTTCTCTGCTTTCTTGGCCCCCTTCAGAGAAGAATCACACCTAAACAATGTCCGAAACATGAACAGCTGCAGCTTTTGAACTGACTGAGCAGCACTAGCTGGGAGTTTGCATCATTTTGTCAGTAAAGCCTTAACTGTGAAGTGAGATTTCCCTCATGCAATTGTCTGTCATGCTGTCATTTTTTTCACAAATACTTTATCTAAAATGAACTTGGTCTGCCTGTGTTTCTGTGACTCTTGGCTCATTATTGTTGCTGCAAGAACCAGCTTATCCATCTTGTGTCCAACTGAGGTTGAAATTCAGGCTGAGGTAGGGCCTATTGACTTACAAAGAAAGGTCCCTTCCACTGTGTGTAAAGCCAAGTCATAACTTTTGCTCTTGCTTCTGCTGCTCTAAAAAGCAGCTTGCTTGTTCATTCGCATTGACCTTGATTAGTGGCTCATCCGCCAGCTCCTTCAACTACTAATTGGTAAATTAGATTTGCAGTCATGGCACCTTGAAAGCTCCCAACCCTACTCCAAAGAAAGATGAAGTGCTGTCCTCCCCTGCTTCTAAAGGAGACATAGCACAGCCAACCCAACCATTTCCACGGCATGATCTAAAGCAAAACCTCTATCCCAGCCTCCCTGCTGCAATAAACGATGTCTTTGAGGCATTACTTAGTCCAAAATTTGCCCGGCACATGAAAGAGCAATAGGAACTTGTCAGATTAACAGAGTTCCCTTCTGTCTAGCCTCCCTGCCAAACCAAATACAATCTTAAAATAAATGATCCACTACCATGATCCACAAAGACCGTTACAGGGCACTGGTACCCTGGTAGCTAGGTGGCACCAGCTGATTTCAATCTTCCATGAAAAGCCAGCTTATTAGTTGAAGTATTTCACCTTTGTTGACTTGAGGTCACTCCCTTGAAGTGCTAAACGTGAAGGGAGTGTAAAGAAGCCCCTGTTTCAAGGCATGACCTGTAAAGCAYGAACTGCAGCCAGTGCTGTTGCAAGGGGTAGTTCTTGATGCAGCCAGAAGCAGCCTCCTGGAGCACCAAGGACGAGCACAACATCAGGTAGGCTAATGGGGATTCACAGTATGCCAGGAACAGACTGCCTGGGAGGTGACTGTGTCTGCTGAAAACATGAGGGACATGCTGGCCTGATGTGCTACTCTTTCATGGTGCTATGATTGACCTCTGATTTTGCTGGAGCTGCATTAACAACTGAAGCTGCAAGCCTGTGCTTTGTTAATCCTGCCAGTCTCCCTTCTCCTTGCTTCCCCAAGGCTGGCTGAAAATGCAGGAGATTTGTTGCGAGGGCACTGCCTGATATGCTTGTTCTTTAGGATCTTTTCTCTTTATGGTCCCAACAAGGAGCAAAAGGGGAGACAGACCTCAAAATTCTGTGCTTAAAATTAAGCATCTCCAGAGTATAAAATGCAGGAAATACCAAAATAGGCCTGTGGATGAGAGATAATATATGTTAACTTTAATAAAGCTCCATGAATGCAGCTCAGATGCTAATAGTGCACGGGCTGCCTGACTCAGAGCTAGCTGATACAGCTCTGCAGAGCATTGAATTATGCTGTATAGACACAGTTGTGGTGCCAGAAGTAAAATGTTGGAGACCTGGGCAATTGCAAAGTAGAGACAGGCTCCTCTCAGTCTGCTGCATCCTTCTGAGAGATGGATAAACTGAGACCCTGAGCACAATGAGAAATACCCAGAGCAATACTGACTGCATAAAGGATGCTGATGGCATCACTAACATGAGACTTKTCTGTCTTGGGAACTACTGTAGTGGTAAAAAATGACCTCTGCGGAGGCATGATAATTCATTAGGCTATAGAGGAGCTTCTGGGATTAATCACACTTAGCTAACAAGACAGTCCTTGTGCAGCCTCAATCAAAAGCATATTTTAATGTCTGAGTAGCTTCCAAAATCTGTCAAAACTGTATCCTGAGACTCTGAAATTTCTTAGGAAAGACACGTCCAGGAACAAAACTTTTTAAAGGGACATAAAAAACGAATGCATGCAGCCAGACTAACATCCACTTTGTCAGATACCTAACARTGTTCAGCAGCAGAAGCTTAAAATATGGAATCACGTATATAGAGAGCAAAACATAAAGCAATGTTTCCACTAGTGTATCCTCTCACACTTTAACAATGGTAGCATATGCACTTTTTCAGCCAATGTTTGCAGCTTTGTTTTTAAAAGCTCTTGACAGTTTGTGCAGGTCTTTTTTTTCTTTTCTTTTTTTTTCTGCAAACATTTTAGCCTCCACAATCTCCTGTGGCAATGAGTTCCCCAGCTTAAATATGTGTGGGAGTGTGKGGGGTTTCTTGCCCTGTGCTTGCAGGTATAATTTGGGAATTTTCTTTGATGATCCCTCATTCTGCTTTGAGAACAGTGGATGATTGTTTGCTACACGCCTTCCTCCAACGTACTTGATTACAACTCCAATTCTCTACTGGTGGTATGCCCTTGTTTTCCGTATGGATCTAAGTGTCATATGGGCAAGCTGATCTAGCCACATTTAATCTATGTAACATGGGTGCAAACAGCAATGATGGTGGAGCAACTTAGATGTCATTTGCTTAGTACTTGTCACTTGCTTGTATAGCTTACAGACCAGTGTATAATATCAAATATCCACTATCAGTCATATGGGATATATAAAAGGCAGCATGGTATAATATATCTCCACTAGATGAAATAGGACACCAGCACAAAGAATTTTTTTTAAGTGATGGTGGTTGGGATGTCAATCTCTTATTGTGACATGAAGATATGCTGAAGGCCCAACTGATATTTGAAGATTCAGATATTGACCACTAGCCACATCTCAGCCTWTAACTTAAACACTTTGAAAACTCCTAATTTTCAGAAGTCCTGGACCACTCTGTGTCAACCTTTAGGTGATGGTAAAAATGAATTCACTCTGGAAGTACTATGAAAGCTCTCAATCTATTATTGCCACCATTTTTATCCTTGTACAATGCCAAGGAGAATTAAATGCGTCTTCGCTGTCATCAATGGTATGTAATGTGTAGCGAAGGATTGAATCCCCACTTGCCTAAACTTCTGTGTTGTTAGAATCTTAGCTGAAGTCACCACTTAGCTCTACAGAGTAGAGGCTCAAAGTGTCTAGCTCCTTTATGTCTAGAATCTGTATGTTGCCACCCCAGAGTTAAATGCTTCCAGATAGTGAGGGTGATTTGAGGTTGAACCCCCTCTGTATTTCAGTTGGAGCAATCAGTTTTGAATCGTCGTGGTTTAATGAAGATGAACGCTATGCTGAAGATTATGCGTTGATGCAGGAGGTGGTGTCCAAATCTCCCACCAGAAATGAACTGATTGCTTTTGATTTTTCTGCTTTGTAATATGCAAATGAAGGGAGTTAAACCTAGAATACAAGTTCACAAAGGAATATTTTCATGCTGGGATCTCAGTTATGCTCACAAAGTTTGATTTCAGAAGGGATTTTTAAGTACGAGGTATCACCTGCTGCTAACTTTTTGTAATGGTGAAATGCAGGCATACAGTGAGGTCAATATCCATTAAAATCCCTGTTTAAATTGTCAGCTTTAATTAAATCACTTCATGCATGTGGAGGACTAGCCAGTTCCAGTCCAGTCCTTTTAAAGGTTCTTTTTTTCCCCAAATACTAGATAGTTAGACAAATGATTTCATYTTATGCCAGCTGAGCTCTTCTCTCAGAAGAAACACAACAGAGCTTTTTGTTTCCCCTAATTAGAGGGGCATGGGAGGCCACTGGGAATGACGTAGAGATGTGTGTGCAAGGCATGTGATGGAGGCATCTCGGGAGAGGGTACTGGAAAACACTGCCTCTGGGTAGCATCTTTTTCCCTTAGAATAAAGAGCAGTGAAATTAGGAATGGGAAAGATCCTGGGAATGGGATCCGTAGTTTGTCTAAGCCTGTCTATCCTGAAGTCATCCTGCTGTAGTATCAGTGGTCTTCTCCCTCCATTTACAGTCCTCTTTGTTAGGTCTGCTTCTATCTGTTACAAGACTATTCCTTCACTTACTTCTCAGCTCAGATGTTCCTCATTTAATTTCGTCTCACTCAATCACTGTTATTCTTTCTTTCTCTTCACAAAATCTGAGCATGGCAGGTTAGAAATCTATACAAAGCAGAAGATAAAGGACAGGAAGGCAGATAAGGCAGTAGCAGCTGGAGCACTGGGAAAACTCAGCAGCTCAGAGAGCTCAAAGACCAATACCAAGGGGAGCTTTCTTTCTGTGGCCTTTTCACAAACCATTTTTGTCCTCAATATTTCCCTCATTCCTCTTCACTGTGGTTGCTGAGTAACTCATCACTGCTGTAGTGGACCATCATATCAAGGACATCTCAGGTAAGAGGCAGCTTCCAAGTGCTGTGGCAAAATAGCAGAGACCCAAGAGCCAAGCAGCAGTCAAATCTTGCAAGAAATACGTGTTTTGGCTGCATACCTTGAGAGCCAAAAAGAACCTGCTGTCAACTGATTAAATAGACTGAAAGCTAACCTTCAAAAGAAGTCCCAAAACYTAATGAAATTTGATTGCTCTGAGAATTTATTTTAGAACTTGGTCTAGACTCTCTGCAAGCTCTGAGGCTCCCAAGAAGGGAGTGAGTAGTTGTCCACAAGCCTCTGGGGCAGGCCTGGGGAAGCCAGGTAAACCTTTCATATGATTTTTGGCTCAAAGATGAGTAACTGAAGAATTTTATTTCTATTTCCCAATGACAAGTCATTGACTGGACAGAGCCTTCTATTCCAGAATGGCACTTCTGGATGAATGTCTATTTGTGAGAAAGAGGTATCTTCTCTTTCAATGTGGAGACTATAGTGCTCTGGGGGCAATATACTACTACACTTTTCTTGTCACTGTCAATTTTACATGGTACCCGGGGCCAAGAATAACGCTGGGGGGTTGTTTCGTCAACAGAGATAGCTTTTGAGAGAAGACCTGGAGATATAACAACACTCTGTTGCTGCAGCATTGAGGAACAAGGGTGACATCCTTGCTCCTAAGGTACATTTGGACAATTCTTAGAAAACAAACCAGCTTCCACTGGGAGAAGAGAMTCCTTATTTTATATAAGATAGAAAATTTGTTAGTCGCATCAGGGGAGCTATGTCCAAGTGTTCTTTTTAATCCTCTTTAATCATGATATTTCTGATTAACATCTGAATAGAGCTTCTAATTGGAAAGAAGAGATGCACACAACCTTATCCTGCTGAGGAGGTGAATTCTCATGAATTCTCAACTCCTGCCACTCATTCCTGCATACGCTCTCCTGATTAAGGCTTGAATGGGACAATGATTAGAGAGGCCATTGCCACTTTGCAACCTCTCAATAGCATAGCTACGTTCAAGGATTTATTTTCAACTAAGATTTGAATAAATGTTTTGCAAATGGGAGCCACTCCTGCTGAATGGAAAGAGCTTTTAAACACTTCTGAAATACAATTCTGTCTTGTTTATTGCTTTATCTTACTGATCTCTGTGTAGAATGTACCCTGTTTGACCATAATGCGTTTCAATTAGAATGTTGTTTTAAGCATATGCATTTCACTTGTTCATCCAACTTATTATTCAAAAAAAAAAGTGAAAATCTGAGAAGTGTGATATTTAAAAACCATTTCTGCACTTTTGTATACAAGTGTTTTGTTTAAATTCTTCCATCTATTATATAATTTATTTTAYTTATTAATTTGCAATAGGCCTGACCAAAATCAGGGGCTTGTTATGTTAGGAACTACATATTCAAAGACCACCATAGTCTTAATCCCCAGGGAGTTCTTGATCTCAGCTTGAGWCAATTATGTCAATCCACTTAGTCATACAAAAGCAGTCTTCCTAGCCCATCACAGGGATGGAACAAAATGATTGTGTGGTTTACCTAAGCCTTTTTGAAAAAGAGTGTGTAGCCACATACCTGTTGGTTCCTTCTGGTTACAGTGAACCAACAGATGAATTGTTGCTGCATTTGCTTAAATTATGACCTCTGGCTGCTGTGTACTTTTATATCTACTAGACTTTCTCCCTTCAGCTTAGCACCCCTC